TATATATATATACTATTATATAAAAGTGGTTTTCAAAGCCTGCAATATCTGTCGCAAAAAAATAAGAAATTTAAACTTATAAATTGCACAACCGCTATGACCTTTTAAACTTCCGATCCATTTCTCACAGGTCTTCTAAATCAAATACTAACAATTCGTTTAATTTTATTATTCATTACACAGAAAAAAATTGTTTTATAAAACATCTAAGTGGTTATATAACTACACTGAAAATGTATAGAGAGGCCTACATGAAATATAACTAAGGAACAAAGTATACAACATCTTATTAATATCTGCGAAATTATATATGTTTTTTCGAGTTTTATTTAATTTATAAACATATTACATATGCTTATATAAGTGTGCTTGACGCGATTATGAAAACATATGTTCCGATATTAAATCAATGAAATCATTATTTATCAATTTATTTTATGTTTTTGGTGCTGCTCTGCAAACTTTTTTTGATGAAAATTTTGAACAGAAATATTGTTTAAAAGGTGAATTACACAATAATTTAAAGGACTGAATAAGTTAGTTTTTCTCCATGTCAATTGCTTCCTTCTGTTGTTTTGCATTTCATTACTTTTCCATGTGAGCCTATGTCTTGTCATTTGGTTCTATTCTAAATAAGGAAACATAGTGTTCTAGAAATTGAACAAAATTTAATAATTCATATTATATCTACAATTTCAACCTATCTTCTTGGCCTAAATTCGAATGTGCTTACAAAATATAAGTTAACAATAAGAAATCTACAATACCTGATAACGGTTGGTGATAAGCCTTTGATGGGAATGCTGAGAACGGTTGGTCGGTACTCTAATCCCGTATGGTTCTGATGGATATAATATACGGTATGCGACTTCAAATAGGCCTACAGCTGGTCTTAGCAACGCAATTGATCTAACACTCGACCAACCACTACGCATCGGTTTTATATGCTCTTTTTTCATTAGTGGAAGACTCAACTTGCAGATTGGCTGCTTGATGACATCATGTTGTTTGCCGATCCAGGTTCTGAGATCACTGTGCGTTGGCATACGTATTATGGGGCAACACAGCTATTACACCTCCATGCCTGTTAAAAAAGGAAATAGTGTAATGGTATTTTCTTATGACCTGTCGATATATGTTAGATCACATTTCATTATTCTCCTAACCTGTAGAAAATTCATCCTTAGTCCACATATATGTGCACTCAGTCTAGCGCTGAATTTAGCTTTCTATCACCCTGAACTAGCTGAGGGCGTCATGCAACGCCTAGATCCTGCTTAGATCTATAATGATCACACATGCGATGCAAATACTACTGACTATGTTCGAGCTATTAGAAGATATTATTATCAGTTTTGATTTTTAAAATATGTTAATAAATTATGTAAAATGCTTTTACTATCTCCACTGGTTAATTTGCAATTATTTCACTCAATGTGTCAATTTTGCATCACTTTGCTCAGTGAATTATGAATATTAATTAGAATAATATCCAATGAAGCAGAACAGGAATTTAAAATCACTTAAGACAAGTTCAGACTATCAAATGTCATTTTACAAAAACATGTGACATGCCTAAATATGGTCGTGATGACATCACATTATGACCATATATAGGCACATTATGACTATATATGGGCATACAGCAGCTTTTTTTACTCGAAGGAAATTTGATAGTGTAGACGGAGCTTAATTATTAATAAAAGTAATATTATATGGGAAACAATATTAAAGTTTAATAATGTTTATTTTGTTACAGCGAAATTTAGATGAAAATCTAGGCAAATGCAGTGTGACGTATATATTATAGTTTTTTTTTTTATTAAGAAATGGAACATTTAAGAAATGATACGGTATGAATCGGTGCATTGTTTCACTAATGTGGAATAATCTTCCTTCTCATGTCCGCCTATATATATTGTTTCTGGTTTAAAGTCTTTACGCAAGACTTGTTCTCGTATTTCGTTTTCTTGTGATTTTTCTCAGGTTTGTCCTTTATTAGTTTTATTTCTTTTTGGGGTTTTTATTTGCGATTTTAATTTCATAGCTTCCTCATTGTCTTGTCTTTTTGGGCTTATTTAAGCTGTGCAAGGTGGAGTGCTGGCGCTTGTACCTGGAAAGAAAGGCGCTATACAAAAAAAAAATGAAGAATGAATGAATGAGATATACATTTGAGTACAAGGTAGATTGAATGATTTATCGAATGTGTGCGCATTTATGGTGGGTGATTTGTAGAGTCCTAGAGGTAGTAGCTATAAAGACATTGATTTACTTGCTGCTCAATGTTGATGTAGAGTGTGCAGTGGCAGATACCTAGCCTGTGGTATTAGACGGAATGAAAGACTTACATTGTGAGCCAGGTAAATATATTCCATTGCTTCATTCTCTGTAAAAATGTCACTTTTTACATTTCCATCAACCAAAATCGACTCCACTCAGAAAATCCTAACGGACTTGCTTTCTAGAGCATCAAATGGTGAGCTTCACTTGATCACCTTCCTCAAATGTCACTTATATTATGAATTATTAACTATTTGAATACCGACAATAATAACAGTGGGAGTGGGAGAAAATAAGTGCGTCATAAGGGGCTTCTCAACTAACAAACAACGTTATTATAATTATTAAGTTTGCGAACGTTTTTTTGGTTAGGTATTTTAGAAAATGACGTTATAACAACGTTGCAGCGACGTCTAGCCTAGGCCTGGGCGTAAAAAGAATATATGAAATCACCATAAGCAATGAGATTAGATCGGCTTATGACATCTTCACGAAAGCAATTTTTCAGGACTCGATTAGCTTGTACCATAAAGAAAATTTGTATTGTATATGTGAGCAAACCGCCGATAAGCAGTCGACCGGTATTAGGCACGTCTACCTTTGGATTTGTAGTATACATTTCGTGAAACCTAGAGTTACATTTATAGTACCATTACTTAAGATGGCTGTAGTTACGTAATATGTATTTAGTGCATGCTTAGCGATGATTGGTGATTTTTTTTCTTTTGTTTCTTCACGTTTTACAAATGCTCTTTCTACTTCATATGTCGCCTTGTCAAGGAAAGTGAAATTGTTGCGCAGGAAATATACAGCACATAATAACCTGAACCAAAAACAATCGGACGGTGATGACAATAATCGCGTAGCAACGGGCGGGCAGTAAATGACGGTTGATAATGCAGCATAGCGGGCAATGTGATCACTTATTGCCCCCTCCGGAAGAGAAAAATTACGTTAAAAAGTGTGGAAGCCACTATTTAATTTATAAATTTATAATGATATCTATGATAATTATCATACATGATATTACTTTTTCTTCATTGCTATTAATGATATTTAGCATTATCAGTTATTATTATTATTATTATTATTATTATTATTATTGTTATTATTATTATTGTTATTATTATTGTTATTATTATTATTATTATTATTATTATCATTATTATTATTATTATTATTATTATTATTATTATTGTATATTTATATAGCGCATATCTAAAGCTCTATGTGTTTAACCATTCCAAATTAATCATTATTTATTTTACCATTTAATTGTTAGTTAATAAAAAGTTTATAATTCAAAGAATAGTAAAATTACAATGTGTGATGTAAAAAGCAAGGTCTCAAATGGTCAACCATCCGTCACTGCCTCGGTGCAATCCCAGACCTCTACTAGGTGGCGCGAACAAAGGAACAGGTTACACATTTACCCTGCCACAGACGAATGGGTACTCGGGGACAATGACCAAGATAGTGGCCTCTAGAGACAGAGTAGTCACATTTGTAATCAAGAGAGAGAGGGGATGGGGAGAGAGAGGGAGAGGGAGAGAGAGAGGGAGAGAGAGGGAGAAAGAGAAAATACAATAAACGACTGAAGAAACATGGGAATTTATTTTTCACCAAAGACGGAAACAAAAAGATGATTTGAACTGTCCGACACTAATGGCATCACGTATATCGCCAGGAAGTCTATTCCAAAGAGTAGGAGATGATATGGAAAATGCTGCATCCCCGTAAGTGATAGTTGCAGGTGCTCTAGGTAGAGAAAGGAACCACTGCGACGAGGATCTGAGAGTTCTCTTGCTTTGATAATCACTTATCAGTTCTTTGATGTAAGACGGAGAGTTGTACAGTCGGCATTTATATGTCAGATGTAATACCTTTAACTCAACTCTCTGACGCACAGGTAGCCAGTGCAAGTTTCGCAGGACAGGGGTAATATGCTCATGCCGCCTAGTCCTGGTGACAATTCTCGCTGCAGTGTTCTGTACACGCTGAAGCTTTTCAATCTCTGTTTTAGGGACACCGTAATAAAGGCATATAGTTAGGCAATAGTTAGGCATATACGCCTAATTATTACTTAGTGTATATAATTATTAAATCAACACCATCTTCATTGTTTTGTTGATTACTGTATTACTAACTTTAATTGTGTACGAAATGCAAAAATGATAAATTTGGCAGATATGTGACCACATCAATTTAGGGTCATATTGTTTTTAAATTGACAAAGCCTAATCATATGTATTGAAATAAAAATACATCCTAGTTGTCTTAATCTCCAGCATCAAATGATTTGCTTGGCTGTCAGCGATGTGGAAAACATAAATCCAATATCAACTCGGGATCATATAAATGTTCTGGTTTTTTTTTTTTTTTTTAATTAATTAGAAGCGTAAATTATTATCTCTTCTTCTGATAATGTGCGTAAATTAGGGGTATTGTTTGATTCCCAAATGGCCATGTCTACCCACATTAAATCTCTCTGTTCTAATAACCTCACAATTCAATTTCATAACATTCCGGATACAGACAGGTTCTTTGATTACGATACTTGGCATCTTCTCATCCGGGCCCTGGGCAGCTAAGTTGATTTGACAGTTGCCGAAATGACTTTGCTTCACATTGTGTACAGAAACTTTACTGGCTTCCCATTTAAGAGCGAATAATTTTTAAAATAATGGTTTTCATTTTCAAATACATCACTAATATTTCAGTCGTGCTAAAGAAGACCAGAGGACAGGTACACTAGACATTTTGATGCTTAGATAAAATAAGTAGTGTTCCGCTAAGTATACATGGCATAACCATAACAGAGAGCCCCTGTGGTGGAAGAGGAGAGTTGCCGGTACCGGGTTACCGAGTAGCAAAGACACGAAGGAACCCTAGGGGCGAAGAAACCATTGACCGAGTTCCTAGTCCACACACAAGCGCCCTGAGCATCTTATATTTAATGGATACGGTGCTATATAACACCTGTCTCTTATACACATCTAGATGTGTATAAGAGACAGATATATATATGTGTGTGTATATATATGTGTATATATGTGTATATATGTAAACTTTTCGACCTAATTTGTCAATATTAGGTTTGTGTATTAAAAAGGGTATGTTGCATGCTATATAAAATACTAGCTTAAAATGTGGTATTCTAGTTCAGTCATGTTCAGTTCAGTCAAACGTAGATATAATTAAATGGATATAGTGTAACACGATCAAATTTTAAAAGTATCGATACAAAATATAATTACAAATTTCTTAGATAAATTTAATAAAATAAAAATTTTGCTAACTTTGCACTCTCAGATTTAAAATTGTAATATTTGAATTTTGTTTCCCAATTTAGTAGTAGTTGTTTTAGTTGTGTAACAGTAGCAGCAGAAGCAGTAGCAGCAGTAGTAGTAGTAGTAGTAGTAGTAGTAGTAGTAGTAGTTAGTGTAGTAGTAGTAGTAGTAGTAGTAGTAGTAGTAGTAGTAGTAGTAGTGGTAGTAGTAGTAGTAGTAGTAGTAGTAGTAGTAATATGGCAGTAAATAATTTTCTTTATGACGCTGTCGCCATGAGCAGCAAGATAATTATTTTACTGCGACACATATATGTTGATGAATCACTAAAAAAAAGTGGCTAAAATGTATGACATTTACTGTTCAATGAGAACTCCTACGCTACATTATGTAGGCCCACTTATTCAGCTGAAATGGTAATCCCCTTTTTAGTTAGAGTATTCTTCTAAGAAAAAATTTGTACCAAACATTAAAACATCCGATTTTGTTTTTGTAAGTTAAAATCTCAATATTATGCTTGGTAGGCCTACTATGCGGTGGGCTTGAAAGGTTTATGGTAAACTTAACATAGGTATATATATGATTTGTTGGAAATTCTATAAAAGATAAGGAATTAAGCATGTTTTAATCTCATTTTCCATTTAAATGTATACTGAACATTTGTGTTTTTCAAACATTCTGTTTAAACATAGCTATTGCAAATGTGAAAAAAATCACTCCAACTGGGATATATACCCAGACCATCTGACGTTATATGATATGCAGACCCCCGTTGGGCGAGTAGAGTGGCCAAGCGGTAAGGCAGAGGCGCCGCTCTAGCTACAGCCTTAACATTGGCGCTGGTTCCAGTCGCTCCTCGCCCATGGGTTGGTAAAACCAAGTCTTCTCGGATAAGGACTTAAAATGTAGGTCCAGTGTATACATCTTGCTCGTGTGCACTTTAACGAACCAATGGCATCTTTCGGAAGAGTAAGGGGTTACCCCGATGTTATGGTTCATTTCAGCCCCTGTCGTTGTGGAATGATGTGAACATGTATCTACCATGAAGCGCCTCTTTACGACTGCTAGGTAGTCACGGAACACGCCCATATGCAATTCAGCACAATGACGCTGCAAGTTATGTTTTATTCTCCTACCTACCTACCTACCTACCCACCCACCCTTTAATTAAACAACTGGGTTTACAAGATTTTCTCCACACCTTTCTCGTAATACTTTGTTCTTCGCCTTCTACCTCGTTACATGTACCACATCGCCTTGCTGTGTTTGTTAGTTCCTTAACAGTAAATACTTGTAACCATTTCATATAATATTGATTATCGTTCTCTTTTCGAACTCTTTCCATGAGGTTTTTTGTGGGACAAGGGCGCCATAACGTCAGAATTGGTTAGAGACCTTTCTCTCTCACGATGTGGTTAGTAGAATCAAATTTTCTCGGACAAGAAAGGTATTTATAAAAATAACCTAAAACCCAGAATATCTTTAGATGAGTAGGGTGTTCACCGGATTAAAACCATTAATTAGCCGATACAAACAAAATATTTTAATTGCCAATCCCTAATACTGTAGCCTAAAAGCACAATATTGGGCCAGCCTAAAGTATAAAATCTCTGCTTCATGAATCTTTCTGGAGCCGCCGCCGATGTACTTAAAGAAACCCAGATTATCTTTAAATAAGTAGGGTGTTACTAAGATGTGTGGAATGATGTTACTATTGAGCAGTAAGTCCTCTATCCCGTCCAACAAGCATAAACACACTCCCCGTTTTTTCATGCCACCCCGACCAATTCTCCGCAATAAAAATATTGATTTTCCGATACAAACAAAATATTGTAATTGAAAATCCTTAATATTATGATCTAAGACAATTTTTGGCTTTTCTAATTCTAACTTAACATAAATGAAACACAGTGTATTGGATTTGGTGTAATGCATGTATTAGCTATAGAAATAACATTAAGAGTTGGATAAAGAAAAGACTTAATATATGTAAAAGATTTATTTAATGAAAAAAAAAAGTTTTTAAATCTTTTGAAAAATATAAAATAATACTGAAAAAAAATAAATCATTGTTAATGGAATATTTTATGGTATCAGAAGCGCTTCCCATGCTATGGTCAGAGATTTTAGAAGATGGAATTTATCGAACAAACAATAATCCGATTTTCTTAGCAAAGTAAATGATAAATACGTTGATCTCTCAACTGTCACAACAAAATTATTAAACCAAGAGAGTATGAAGAAAATATTCCTTACCCCAAAATGTCAAAATCACTGGGAACGTAAATTTAATGATTTTGTTTTTGATTGGAACAAAATTTTGAAAAACGTATGTATAGTTACAAAAGACGCCAACGTGTTTTCAACCAACTGGAAAATACTGCACAACATAACAGACACACGTGTTGCTCCTTAAATTTGGCATTGCAGAATCTAACATATGTTCTTTCTGCAACAGTGATTCTGTGAAATATATAGAGCACTTTATTTGTGATTGCCCAAGTACCAAATGTATTTGGAAATAAGTCGAAAACATTTGCTTTCGAAAAAATGATAAACGATTAAATTTTGAATTGACGGAGATAATATTTGAATACTTTTTCGATGAACCATAACTTTGATTTTATAAACAGGATGATTAAAAGTGAAAAATATTTTATTTGTAGATATAAACTTGGAAGTCGGTGTTATAATCTAGTAGCATTGTTTCATAACGATTTAATAATCAGGAAAATACCATATATGGTTTTTGTAAAAAAATATTTGACTGATAAAAACGGTAAAGGCCTTTCAAGAAAAAAAAAAAATCTCTTCTCCATAAACCCCACCTGCAGTGATTTCATATCGATACCCTTACCGAGACTCAAGGCGGCTCCTTGGCTCGGTCTACCTGTTGGGACTTGTCGGACCTCCTCTCAACATTTCTGGAGCCACCAATGCTACTGAGCGCCTCTCTACGACATCTATGATATTTATTGACTACACCCGTACGTAATTCAGCACAACTATTTACCTTGAAAATTACAGGTTATTTGCCTTTGGAGCTCCTACAGTTTAATTTTCAATAGTTGGTATATTCCATTAGTGCAGTATGTTTTGTTCTGTTTTGTGATTTTTGAACCATTAGTAAATATCTTTCACCGAGGATATCCCTGTTATATCCCATTTCTGTAAACACATTGGACGTTCATATTTACTATGTTTACATTTCCCCTAGATGAAACGATTCTCTATTTTAACTTATCGCTTAGGGACAGCTGCTTTGAAAATGTTCCACTCATTAATTGCTGGTTTATTCCCGTTTTCTACCATACTCATTCAGATTTCATTAAAAGGTAAACCGTTATAATACAAAATTGATAGAAATTGGAGCAGTGAAATAACTTTCCAATTTATCTTAAGTTTACATGACTTAAAAAACGATTTATCCCCACGTTAGGAAGCAATAAAAGGGAAAGCTTTTAGGATAGCTGGAGGGCTGAGGACGCAGTGAATGTGAGTTGAGCGAGCTATGTGTTTGAGTAATTAGATGCTTGGCAGTAAATATTCTGATTTGTATCATACAAGTTACTACTGTTACAACTGCAAATACTGGTACTCCTGCTGCTGCTGCTACCACCACCACCACCACCACCAATACCACCGCCATCGCTGCCGCCGCCGCCCTAACCGTTTCCATATCAAGCTAAATCTCATAGTTTTGCTAATATATTAGTTTTAGACAAACACGTCAATAGAAGAATTTCAAAAGCATTGTTATCTCCGAAGACAAAAAGTGT